CGGAGGGCAGGAAACACCCTGGACAGGCCACCAATCCATCACAGGGCAGACAGACAGACATTTACACTCACACACACCTCTAGGAGCAATTTAGCATGTCCAATTAGCCTGACTGCATGTCTTTGGACTGCGGGAGGAAACCCACGCAGCAGGAGAACATACAAACTCCACACAGAAAGGACTCTGGTCACCCGGCCGGGGAATCGAACCCAGACCCTTCTTGTTGTGAGGCGACAGCGCTACCCACTGTATAGAAATAAGTAGAAAATTGTGCACTAACAATTACAGAAACATGTTATATTTAAGTGTGTCTCTGTAGAGGATGTTGTAGCTAATTTACACTTAGAAAAGCTACAAAACATGGCATTTGAACAGTGGGGTGTTCAAACTTTTGCATACAACTGCATATCTATCTTGGACTGTGTTGTGAGCACAGCTGGCCATTCGCTACAATGATAAAAATCTGGCAACCCTGTATGGAACAGGTACAAATCAGGCAGAGGGGTGTGACTAAAGTGGGTAGAAAACTGGGTAACTTCCTCCTAAATAAAATAAATATAAATAAATGAATAAAAAAATCAGTTTAGCATTGAATATTGAAAATTGAATCATTGGTATCGTATCAGTCACATCACATCAGATCATATCGGCACGGCCCTGTGTGAAACTGCATAGTGAGAATGGATGATAAATGTTTGGATATTAAACTCAGCAGATGTACGTGTTGGGGGCTTTTGCCCTGCAGGTTGTTTAGGCCACTTTTATCAAAGGAACGTACAGTATGACAGGATGGTGTCCTAATTACACACCTGGCAACCCTGTGGCCATGTCTGTACTGGGCCTTTAGACCTGAGCCAGCGGGGGTCAGCGCTCCTCTGTAAACGAGGCGTTTAGGAGGGTAAATGATGCAACCTCTCATCTGTGGCGCTACACTCCTCACCAGCTACGCAAACTGGTGCCTTAGCCCCCCCTCCACACCCTGGCAGCCCGCCCGAGTCCCCCAGGGCTCAGGATTCATTCAATTAAACTCACACTGGGGGGGGGGCTGTGTGGACGCTGCTGAATGTCTGGAGGACTCAAACGATGAATGTGTGTGTTTCTTTAAGGTTGTCTGTGAGCTGTTAACACCTTCAGCTGTTAGTCTGAGCGCCGTGACATCTCGCCTCAGAGTTTAGTGACAGCAAAGGAAAAAATCTGTAAAAAAATATAATAATAAAATAAAATTAAAAATAAATACGGCTGAATGAAAACACACACACCAAAAATGAAAACTGCAAACTGAGAGAGCAAATTTAAAACCCGCAAAGCTGCTGTTTTAATAACGTCTTAAATTATTCAACGTTGCCATGAGTTTTAATTGGGGAACTTTAATCCAATAACTCACATTCTTAAAAAAGGTTCTTCAAGGGCTCTTAGAACCATATACAACACATTCCCCATCAGTCTGAAGAACTATTGCACCATGCAAAGAACTCTTTAATCATGCAAAGGGTTCTTTGAGTGCTTATGGTGCTATTTAGAACCATTTTCTTTACTAAAGAACCCTTGAAGAACCCTTGAAGAACCATCTTTTTTAAGAGTGTAAATAACACTTGTTGACAGTTGAGTGACTTAGCCAAGTAGCTAACTTAGGAGTTAGCAAGTTGCCTAACTGCCCTACCACTCTTAAAAAGGATGGTTCTTCGGGGGTTCCTTTGTTAAGAAAATGGTTCTATAACCAACCATGAACAAACCCTTTTTGGTGCTAAATAGAGCAAATAAGTTTCAAAAATGTAGAACCATATACAGCACATTCTCCATCATTCTGAAGAACCATTTCATCAGTGGTTATTTGATTGTTCATGGTTCTATATAGAACCATTTTCTTTACTAAAGAACCCTTGAAGAACCATCTGTTTTTAAAGAGTGGTAGGGCAGTTAGCCAGCTTGCTAACTCCTAAGTTAGCTACTTGGCTAAGTCACCCCACTGCAAACAAACACACGTTATCTACACTCTTAAAAAAGATGGTTCTTCAAGGGTTCTTTAGTAAAAAAAAAGTGGTTCTATATAGAACAATGAACAATCAAAGAACCCTTTTGCATGATTAAAGAGTTCTTTGCATTGTACAATGGTTCTTCAGATTGATGGAGAATGTGTTGTATATGGTTCTATATAGCACCAAAAAGGGTTCTTCTATTGTTATGAATTTGAGACTATAACAATAACAGAACACTTTTGGTGCTATATAGACCCCTTTTTAAAAGAAAACTCTCTGTAGAACCATGAACACTCAAAGAACCCTTTGCAGGCTTAAATGGTTCTTTGCAAAGTGAAATGTTCTTCAGATTGATGGAGAATGTGCTGTATATGGTTCTATATAGCACCAAAAGGGGTTCTGATATTTTCACAATGTCAAGCTTATAACAATAGAAGAACCCATTTTGGTGCTCTACAGAACCATTTTCAAGAAGGTTCTATATAGAACCTTATACAACACATTCATCATTACTCTGAAGAACCATTTCACAATGCAGAGAACCATTTAAGCATGAAAATGGTTCTTTGAGCTCATGGTTCTATATAGAAACACTGCCTTACAAAAGAACCCTTGGAGAACCATCTGAGTGTATGTTTTCTATATATTGGCGCCCTTAGTAAAGACGGGTTAAACACTGAGGGAAAACTGTCTTTGTGGTTTTTATCTCACACTGAAAATAGGAGAAATAAATCTAATCTTGAACTGAAATTAATTTAGTCTACAAAAATGAAAACAACCAGAACCATCTGTCACAATTATTGGCACCCCTAGAATTGATGATTCAATCATAACTGAAGCTGTGCGTTCTGTAATATGGAGTATCTATTGATACTAAATCTGACCTGATCGTATTTGCTGATTGTATTTAATACTGTTTGTATTTTTGTAGATAACTCCGCCACACAGTGCCCACTTCAAATAAAGTACATCCAAATGAACTGCAGTCTAGTTTAGGTAAGAGGCTGCTGTTTATATTAAAAGGCTGCAGTAAATCACTGTCTACTGTTTTAACTGATGACAGAGAATATACATTGTTACCCTGTTCTTCAGTGGTCAGGACCCCCCACAGGACCCCCACAGAGCAGGTACTATTTGGGTGGTGGATCATTCTCAGCACTGCAGTAACACTGACATGGTGGTGGTGTGTTGGTGTGTGTTGCGCTGGTCTGAGTGGATCAGACACAGCAGTGCTGCTGGAGTTTTAAACACCTCAGTGTCGCTGCTGGACTGAGAATAGTCCACCAACCAAAAATATCCAGCCAACAGCGTCCTGTGGGCAGCGTCCTGTGACCACTGATGAAGGACTAGAGGATGACCAGCACAAACTGTGCAGCAGCAGATGAGCTATCGTCTCTGACTTTACATCTACAAGGTGGACCGACAAGGTAGGAGTGTCTAATAGAGTGGACAGTGAGTGGACACTGTTAAAAAACTGGTGGACCGCAGGTGTGCAAAATAAAACAGAATAAAAATGCAGGATTTGGGCCCTTTAAAAAATGAGGAAAACTCAATTTTCCATGATATGAGCCCTTTAAACCAAACTTCTGAGAGGGGTTAAGGGTTCTTTAGTAAACAAAATGGTTCTATTTTGAACCACGTGACCCATTTGCATGCTTAAATGGTTCTTTGCATGGTGAAATGGTTCTTCAGATTGATGGAGAACATTTTATATATGGTTCTACATAGAACCTATTTGAAAATGGTTCTACATAGCACCAAAACGTGTTTTGATATTATTACAAGCTTGACATCATAACAATAGCAGAACACTTTTAGTACACTATTAAAAAAGATGGTTCTGCAAGGGTTATTTTGTAAAGGGAATGGTTCTATTTAGAACCATAATGGTTCTAAATATTTGGTTCATTGCATGGTGAAATGGCTCATCAGATTGATGGAGAATGTGTTATATAAGGTTCTATATAGAACCTTTCTGAAAGTGGTTCTGGCTTGACATCGTAACAATAGGTGCTATATAGAACCATATTCAATCTGAAGAGCCGTTTAAGCATGCAAATGGTTCTGTATAGAACATAAAACCACTGCCTTTACTGAAGAACCATCTTTTTTAAGCGTTTACAGACAAAACGAGAACACTGACGTTAAGTATTTTTGCATGTTTGTCCTGCAGAAAAAGACAATTAGAACCATTAAGGTTAAAATCTAATGCTTTTTGATTCCTAATGGGAAATGGTTACCACTAGTTTCCTGCAGGACACCATTAGGTCCCATTAGGAACCCATCAAATGCATTTGGAATCAGTCATGGTGTCACAAGTTAAACCACTGGGATCCTTTACACTGTGACATCAACCCATCATGAGAAGCCAAAACACATACAAAACCACCAAGAACCACCAGGAACACTTAATGGTTTCTATGTTTTTTTCCATCAGCCTCCTTAATTCGGTTCTTGGTTTTATTGCATTGTTTATGTGGAAATAATTAAAAACAAACCTTAAAGTTTAAACTAAAACCCCGCACAGCGGCCGCGTTGGCTGAAGGCTGGTGAAACACTCTGCAGGTTTAGTACTCCTGCTCTGCAGGTGTCGCTACAGCGTTTTCTAAAAATATTCCCATCCAGTCGGAGGGCTCTTTCCCCACACCCGTATTCCGGAAGGCCCCGCCCCCGCAGCGCCGTGATTGGCTACGCCTCACATACACAGCCAGTCCGCCCTTTCTAGAAGCCCTGAGGCCCCGCCCTCTCTGCGAATACGCACGAAGAATTCTAGAACGTCACGAAGTCCAGAATTCTAGAGTTCTCTACGTTCTAGAACGCGCGAGAGTACAAACACACAGCTTTAGCCAGCGCAGTGAGTGAGGGAGGGGGCGGGGCTTGTCCTCCGCGTTCTAGAACGCTTTCGAGTACAAAACAAAACTGCGCACGCCGCAGCCAATCCCAACGCACGACTCCAGAGCCCGCCAGCCAATCGGAGCCGCGGAAGGCGGGGTTATTCCTGAAAACGGGTGTGAGAAAAAAAAAAAAAAACAACACAGCGGAGTTTTGTGTATGTGTGTCGAGTTTGGGCAGAGACCGTCTAGACACCCTTCACCCCCCCTCTGGGCAGGGAGCACCGTCTGCAGGCGAGACTTCCCGGTGAAAGAACCGTAAGCAGCATTCTTTCTATTTAATTCGCTCTATTTTAGTATTCGTGGGTGTTTTAGACGGAGCTGGGTAGACAAATGAAGACGGAGCAGCTATATAAAAGGAGTTAAAAAAGCAGGAAGCGAGACATTTATGTGAGAAATGCAAGTTGGTAGTGCAAAAAGGAAAGCAGCTGCAGCAGCGTGCTCAGGGCTCAGGACTCTGTTCAGGACTCAGAACTCAGTGTTCAGAACTCAGGACTCAGTGTCCAGGACTCAGAACTCAGGGTTCAGGACTCAGAACTCAGTGTTCAGAACTCAGGACTCAGTGTTCAGGACTCAGAACTCAGTGTTCAGAACTCAGGACTCAGTGTTCAGGACTCAGAACTCAGTGTTCAGAACTCAGGACTCAGAACTCAGGGTTCAGGACTCAGGGTTCCGAACTCAGTACTCAGGGTTCAGAACTCAGGACTCAGGGTTCAGAACTCAGGACTCAGAACTCAGTGTTCAGGACTCAGAACTCAGGGTTCCAAACTCAGGACTCAGGGTTCAGGACTCAGGGTTCAGAACTCAGAACTCAGGGTTCAGGACTCAGGGTTCAGGAATCAGGACTTAGGACTCAGTACTCAGGACTCGAACTCAGGACACAAACCCAGGACTCAGAACTCATAACTCAGTGTTCAGGACTCAGGGTTCAGGGCTCAGAACTCAGCACTCAGACGCAGGACTCAGAACTCAGTTTTCAGTGTTCAGGGCTCAGGACTCAGAACTCAGTGTTCAGGACTCAGAGTTCAGGACTCAGAACTCAGTGTCCAGGATTCAGGGCTCAGTGTTTAGGACTCAGGGTTCAGGACTTAGAATTCAGTGTTCAGGACTCAGAACTCAGTGTTCAGGCTTCAGGACTCAGAGCTCAGGGTTCAGGGCTCAGGACTCAGTGTTCAAAACTCTGGGCTCAGAGCTCAGGGTTCAGGACTTAGGACTCAGTGCTCAGGACTCAGGGTTCAGGACTCGTGACTCAGTGTTCAGGAGTCACAACTCAGGACTCAGTATTCAGGACTTAGGACTCAGTACTCAGAACTCAGAGCTCAGGGTTCAGGACTTAGGACTCAGTGCTCAGAACTCAGAGTTCAGGACTCGTGACTCAGTGTTCAGGAGTCACAACTCAGGACTCAGTATTCAGGACTTAGGACTCAGTACTCAGAACTCAGGGCTCAGGACTCAAGACTCAGGGCTCAGAACTGAAGACTCAGGGCTCAGGGCTCAGGACTGAAGACTCAGTGTTCAGGAATCAGAATATAGGACTCAGGGTTCAGGGCCCATGGCTCAGAATTCAGTGTTTGGGACTCAGGGGTTAGAACGTAGTGTCCAAGACTCAGGGCTCAGTGTTCAGGACTTAAGACTCGGACTTAGTACTTAGGACTCAGGGCTCAGGACTCTTAAAGGGACAATGCTTCATACTTTCATACATATTATCACCACTGAGTACACATGCAAAGTTTGTGTGTGCATTAAAAAGCCAAATGAGAAATGGCCACTAAACTTTAGCTTTTGCTGGACTTTTAACTTGAAAAATGTTTAATTTTTAACTTTAAAACTTTTAACTCTGCCAAGCCTGAAGACTTTTCATTTCTATATAGATCTAGTGGTGGTGTGTTAGTGTGTGTTGTGCTGGTACGAGTGGATCAGACACAGCAGTGCTGCTGGAGTTTTTAAACACTGTGTCCACTCACTGTCCACTCTATTAGACACTCCTACCTTGTCAGTCCACTCTGTAGATGTAAAGTCAGAGACGATAGCTCATCTGCTGCTGCACAGATTGTGTCGGTCGTCCTCTAGTCCTTCGTCAGTGGTCACAGGACGCTGCCCACAGGACTCTGTTGGCTGGATATTTTTGGTTGGTGGGCTATTCTCAGTCCAGCAGTGACACTGAGGTGTTTAAAACTCCAGCAGCACTGCTGTGTCTGATCCACTCAGACCAGCGCAACACACACTAACACACCACCACCATGTCAGTGCTACTGCAGTGCTGAGAATGATCCACCAATATATTTTACTGTAGTAGGCAAAGGTTTGTGCACCCCTGGTCAAATTTCATGTTTTGTTGATTTTCTAAGTGAAATTGAAAGTTAACACGTCCTCCACAGAGACACACTTACATTTTTGCTTTGTACACAATTTCTATTTATTTGTTGTTTTCAATATAAATCCAGTTTAGTTGTGTGTACATGCGTAAAATACTTCTATAAAGATGCTACTATTCTACAACCTCATATGTTATAAATAATTAATAGGAAGCTGAGATTTGACTGAGAAAGCTGTAGAAGCAGTCAGATTTACACTCCGCTCTCGATTTTATTCAGAGCGACTTATACAACCCCATTTCCAAAAAAGTTGGGACGCTGTGAAAAATGTAAATAAAAACAAAATGCAATGATGTGCAAATCATGTAAACCCTAGATTTAATTAAAAATATTGATGTTGAAACTGAGAATTTTTTTTAAATAAATGCCCATTTTGAATTTGATGCCAACAACACGTTCCAAAAAAGTTGGGACGGGGCAACAAAAGTTGTGTAATGCTTAAAAAAACACCTGGTGGTTAATTGACAAAGAGCATCTCAGAGAGGCGGAGTCTTTCAGGAGTAAAGATGAGGAGGGGTTCACCACTCTGTGAAAGACTGCACCATCAAATAGTGCAACAATTCAAGAATAACGTTTCTCAACATAAAATACCAAAGAACTTTTGCTTTTCATCATCTACGGTACAAAATAACATTAAAAGATTCAGAGAATCTGGAGAAATCTCTGTATGCAGGGGACAAGGCTGAAAACCAGTATTTGCTGGCCGTGATCTTTGGGCACTCAGGCAGCACTGCATTAAAAACAGACATGATTCTGTCTGTGAACACAGTTCATCACTGCCTCCACAAATGCTAGTTAAAATGAACAGGACCCAGAGACGCTGCCACCTTCTCTGGGTCTGAGCTCATTTAAACTGGACTGAGGGGAAGTGGAAAAGTGTTCTGAGGTCCGACGAATCAACATTGAAATTCTTTTTGGAAATCATGGACACTGGGCCAAAGACCACTCAGCTTGTTATCAGCACACAGTTCAAAAGCCAGTATTCATGATGGTATAGGGGGGCATTAGTGCACATGGTATGGGTGATGTGCACATCTGTGAAGGCAACATTAATACTGTGAAGGAAACATATGCTGCCATCCAGACAACGCCTTTTTCAGGGAAGGCCTTGATTATTTCAGCAAGACAATGTAAAACCATATTCTGCATGTATTACAGCAGCATTGCTCCGTATTAAAAGAGTCCAGGTGCTAAACTGGCCTGTCTGCAGTCCAGACCTGTCACCACTGATAACATTTGGCACTTTATAAAATGAAAAATACGACAAAGAAGACCCCGAACTGATGAGCGGCTGAAATCCTATGTTAAGCAAGAATGAGAAAACATTTCACTTTCAAAACTACAGCAGTGTCTCCTCAGTTCCCAAACGCTTACAGTGTTGTTTAAAGAAGAGGTGATGAAACACAGGGGTAAACATGTCCCCGTCCCAACTTTTTTGGAATGTGTTGTTGGCATTAAATTCAAAATGAGCACATATTTTTTTAAAAACAATACAATTTCTCGGTTTTAACATTTGATATGTTGCCTTTGTACAATTTTCAATTAAATATAGGGTTTAAATGATTTGCACATCATTGAATTTTGTTTTTAATTACATTCTGCACAGTGTCCCAACTTTTTGGGACCTCTGGTCTAGTTCCACGTATTTGTTGATTTTCTGGGTCTAAATAAGTGAACACATCCTCTACAGAGACACACTACTGCACACTTTAATATGCAATTACTGAATTTAACATATTTAGAACAAAATAAAACACAAAACAAGGCCTGTGCAAAAGTTATGGCACATTTTATACTGTTTGTTTTTTTCCAATGTGTTAAACTCAGCAAAAAAACAGAAATTGTGCACAAAAATTTGCAGAAAAATGCCATATTTAAGTGTGTCTCTGTAGACAATGTTTTAACTTATTTTCACTTAGAAAATCAACAAAACATGAAATTTGACCAGAGGTGTTCAAACTTTTGCATAGGACTGTTTGTATGTATGTTGGTGGGTTTTGACTGCAGGTCTTGTAGCTGGTGGCAGCAGGTGTGTGTGAGAGTGAAGGATCATAACTCTCCTGTCAGTGAGGGGGTGAATCACAGTTCACACACACACACACACACACACACACACACAAACACACACACACACACACACACACACACACACATACACACACTGTCCTGCAGCACATCCTACACTGTAAAACAGCTCTGCTCTCCTTCTCTGTACACACGTCCAGCAGATCCCGCTTCATCATAGCACTTTACTACCGTCTTATAAAACCCAACAGTATTCACCCAATAGACAAACTCTCTGCTGACCACCAGTGGCCACTTGCATTAAACATCTTAAGTATCTATTTTAAGTTAAATGCTTAAGGGATAAGATTGAAGCTGTACATTTAAATTTAAATTTTGTAACTGTTAGAAAGTGCTGAGACTTAAATGTAGGGTATAACATTTTATTTTGCATATTTTTTTCACTTTCCACTTAAAGAAAAGGGGGAAAACTTGCAATATGCAAAAATGAATGTAGCAATTCATAGTAGATACTGAATCATTTATAGTAGATACTGAATAATTCGTAATAGATACTGAATAATTTATAGTAGATACTGAAAAATCATAGTAGATACTGAATAATTTGTAGTAGATACTGAATAATTCATAGTGGATACAGAATAATTCATAGCAGATACTGAATAAAACATAGTAGATACTGAATAATTCAGTGTAGATACTGAATAATTTGTAATAGATACAGAATAATTTATAGTAGATACTGAATATGTTATAATAGATACTGATGAATTCATAGTAGATACTGAATAATTTGTAGTAGATACTGAATAATTCATTGTAGATACTGAATAATTAGTAGATACTGATGAATTCATA